TCGATACAGTATCAGGAAATGAAATATCGTGATATTTCAGTGTATTGATATTTTTTTACACCCCTAGTAAATACTTTTAGTGAAAGTCTGATGTAAATAAGAAGAATTGAGAAACAGGGTTYATGAATGCTGATTGCAGTGAACCAAACAACCCGTGGCCTGGTTGGGCAAAAACACAAGAGATAYTGATGTGGTGGAAGGAGAAGAGGTGGTACATACTATTTATCACAAGAGTATCGACATGTAGTGACAATAGTATAGTTATCAGAACTGCCGGTAGTACCTAGTAGTTGTCAGTAAATTAATCAGCTTATATATTTTGYGTTACTTTACTATAAATAAATGTAAAAATACAAACTGTATTAATGCGTGTATGATGCAGTTTGAGTATAATGAGACACTTTTTTTTTTGCTTAAAAAGCATTTAAAAATCTACATATGTAAATTGCTACTTCTAATCTCATGCAGATGTCAGAATTTTTTAGCCTTTACACTYCGGTGGAGAAACAGATTATTTTGGGACACTGTTGGAGGAGGAGAAGCGTGTCCTCCTGCATTTTGCTGAAAATGATACAAAATCAAGTTTTTCTTCAAACATATATTTCMGTTTTATATGAGAAAATGTCAAAATTTACTCCGGTATAATAGATAATACCCCCAACATTATGGATGATTTTTGGAGTTACATTTTGTGCTTTTATACACACATAAATATGGTAAATAAATATAATCAAAACTTCCTTCTGCACCCAAATTAGAGGCTTAGTTTCTCTTTTTGGCCACATAAACAGTTGACTTCTACAGATGAAGAGAGAACAGTGGTTTCATGCTTTGCTTGAATAAACAAAACAAAGCCATTTAATAAAATAAAAGCAATCACTTTGCAGCTCACATTTAGAGCACGTTGTCCACAATATCCTCATGCTGAACTTAAAAGTTGTTTAGTAGCTTGACTTGAAGCTGGCAGATGTAAACAAGTTCCAATTTCTTTCTTTTTTTTTTCTTTTGTTTCCTCCTGTATGTTGTCAGTCTGAAACCAAGCTGTACAATGGCTCAGACAAGGATGTGTCGGCATCTGGAGGGAAGCTCACCAAGAAGGAGTCTCTCAAGGTAAGAGAGCTTTAAAGCTGCTTAAAGGGAATCCGGACGCTAATTCTCAGGGCGAGCACAACAAGTCATCAAAATACTCTTTTCCACGTTGCTTAATTATAGAAGCTTGTCAGACAATCTTATCTTACAGTATGTTTTAATTTACAGATAATAGTTTTCCTTTCATGAGTATCAGCACGGTGCAAAATAAACAGCACACATAGCATTTTAAATTAAATGCAAATGGAGTCTCTGTTACAGCGAGGTGTTGTTTWGACAGAAACACTGAGCAGCAAACGGAGAGAAACCAAGTGTGGAAAAGGAGCAGAGTTGTGTAGATTGTGTTTCACATCACTCACCCTCCTGTGCTCCCTGCAGGTGCAGAAGAAGAACTACAGAGAAGAGAAGAAGCGGGCCACCAAGGAGCTGCTCAGCACCATCACAGATCCTTCGGTCATCGTCATGGCYGACTGGCTGAAGGTGGGAGCACCCTCTTCCACGTCCACCGCGACTCTTCACTTGTTCTGCTCGGCTGTGCAAATCTGAGCTTTTTGTTTCTGTGACACCTGTATCTCCAGATCCGTGGCACGCTAAAAAGCTGGACCAAGTTGTGGTGCGTCCTGAAACCTGGTGTCCTGCTGATCTATAAGACTCACAAAAACGGGCAGTGGGTGGGAACGGTGCTGCTCAACGCCTGCGAGCTGATCGAGAGGCCGTCCAAGAAGGATGGCTTCTGTTTCAAACTCTTTCACCCACTGGAGCAGTCCATCTGGGCCGTCAAGGTCAGGAAATACCTATGCTCATCCAAAACACATCGAAAGAGTAAAGTAGTACAATGGACAGGATAGGCGGGCTCACTTCAGTATTGTTCAAGTCGATGACTGCAGAGGCAGGATGAGAAAACGGCCAACTTAGCATTTCCTTATAGCCTGCTGGCCCTGAAAGCTAAATCAATTTGAAGCAAAGTTTTTTAAAAAGTCAGTAAGATATTCTCAACTTGCGTGATCTGGCATTGTTTGGAGTATGTTTTGTAAATTATATTCGGCTACTATCATGCCAAATTTCAGCTGAACATCGGTACAATGCAACAAAAATATGGCCAATTTGTGGAAGCTAAGACTGATTAGCTGTGGTGACCAGATGCTAATAATGAAAACATGCAACTGATGTCCACTCTTTGTGATGTATTCTGCATTGGGAGCGCAGTGGAAAAAATTGTAATTTATCCTCCATGACCCAATATTTCAGTTATATACAAGAACATACTTTAATTTACTGTGGTAGTACATTAGAAAAAAGCCGGTCAACATTTACTCCTAAGTCCCCAAATTTACAGGTAATTTTTGGGCATTATACACATCAATACAGTATTTATGAAAAGAGAATGTAAGTAAACCACTGGGCAGTTTCATATGTATACAGATACATGTTAAACACAGCCTCTTTTATCTTTGACAGATTGAAACAGAAAAAATACAAACTAATTATCGGGAAGAGTCATAAAATAGTACCTCCTTTGTTTCATGCATTGAAAATATAATTCATCAGTTATTGTCCTGATGTGGATAACACCTCATAATTAGGAGCATATATTAGTTTAATTTGAAACGGATAATTAAAAATGATTCATCGAGAAGCCATTTTCATATTTGGCAGCTCCCAGGCTGCATTTGTTCTTGTGCTTGCGGCTCTTAAGCTGTCCTCTCTAGCTGTGATTTGGTATTCATCACTCACTCTGCGAGTGTTGTCGTGGTTGTTTTTGTCATGAAAGAGCTGTCCTGCTTCCCTCGGCTCTTCACTTTCACCAAAATAAGCTCCTCATTCATTCTGTAAATATCCCTCATACATGCAAATATGCATCTTCATTCAATTCTAGCAATGACGTTATATTAGTAGCTAAAAGAAGTAACATGGGGCTTCTAAGAGCATCTTCAAACACTAATTGAACTGATACAGTCATCACTCTTCAACCCTGTTATAGTGTGTGACACGGTTCTCATCCCTCTGTCTTTTCTTGTTGTTAGGGTCCTAAAGGAGAAGCAGTGGGCTCCATTACGCAGCCGTTACCCAGCAGCCACCTCATCTTCCGCGCTGCCTCTGAGTCTGATGGTAAGAGACAAGCTGCCATTTACATCTAGATCTTTGACTCATCRGTGGCAGATCACTCTGAGTGATGGAGAAATCCATTAATGGATTTTCACAATAAAATCTTGTTTCACTGCAACAGTTTAACCCCCAAGTAAATTGTTGTCCAAACTGAAACTGCTTATCTGTTTCCTGTTAAAATGACATCATCTCATTCACATCCAAGCCTCTGCTTYAAAGGTATTCACTGAAGACCAGTCAAAAAGAAATTTGTAAAGTAAGAAACAAAATCCTCACACTATTTTTCTCATAAAGACAGTTCATGTGTCCTTAAATTTATAAAATTGGAATTGAAATGTGTGACCGGATGCTAACTAGCAAACAGCTGAAGTCAGTAAAAATAAGTCAACAATGGCGACGTCCATGGAAGAGCCATTTTTAATGCATGTGTACATATTTACACTTTTTGAACTCAAGCTATATGWTGAGGAAAAAAGTTGAAATTGTTTATTTTTTTACATTTTAAATTAAAATAAACTAATAAGTTTATCATGRATAGTGTGTAAGTTGAAAACGATTGAGACTTTAAATTGACTGGTTTAGAACAGGTTGTGGAGAAGCAGCAGGTGTTTGAAGGCTGAGCTCTGTCTTCATGGTGCTACACTGCTCAGCTTGATCCCCAAAATTTATTTTTTAACAACTGTTGTCATATCAGAACTATAAGAAGATAGTAGGGCCAGGTTGTTGATTTTGTAAAAACTTGTTACAAAAGAAAAATAGAACCCTCCTTGGATGATCCAATGGTCTGTCTGACCTCTGATTGTCAGAGTTCTCATTTGAACACAACTGTACCGTTTGATATAATTCTGAGTAACGTAATATGTTTGGTTTCACAAATTGCACTGAGTACTTGAAAGTAGCTGCATTGATATTACAACTTAACWATTTATTCATCAGCTGAAATTTGTCTCCTAGGCCGATGCTGGATGGACGCCTTAGAGCTGGCCCTGAAGTGCTCCAGYCTGCTGAAGAGGACCATGATCCGCGAGGGGAAGGAGGACATGAGCACAGTCTCCACTAGTGGAGAACACTCCATTAACTTCTACAGCCTCCTCAGAGCTCACAACATTCACGGCTTTCAGTGAGTGGATATATTAAACAGGCGCTGTAGTTGCATCACACAGAGAGRCAGTCATCAACACTCTCACTCACACTTAGAGACATGTTAGAGTTGTCAGTGAATCTAACAGGCATGTTTTTAGACTGCAGAACTAAAGTTCCCAAAGAAAACTCTTGTGTGTGCATGGAGAACATATAAACTCCACCAGGGAAAGGCTAGGCTAACTACTGCTTTGYCTTGCAATCGTCCTAAACTGTTAGTTTTCTCTAAAAAGTGCTGAATGGTTCACGTCACTGAARCTTTAAATCCTGACCAGCCGTGAGATGATGAATCTGTATTTAATGAATCTAACAGTAGATGCTGTTGTTTTTACCCCCACCCCCCCCACCCCCGAGTTAACTTAACTTGCAGAAAGTATACATCTACAGCTTCTAGAATCATCCATGTTCAAGATGCCATAATCACTTATTTTTAAGTGTCTGTGACGTGCATTTTCCAATATTTTCCAATACACAAAAATTGGAAGAAAACGTTACTAAAAAAAGACATTTGGCATAATACACATTTTACACACACAGGCCTGTCACAATACCAAATTTTCAGTTTCAATTTCAAAAACTTTATTCATTTCTTAAAAAACTAAATTAATTCTATGTACAGTAAAAAGAAAGTACAAATAAAATTAAATGAAAGGCGGCAGAGAGAAGAAAAAAAATCTTATATCTGCCCCTTTTTCCTTAAGTATAAATTCAAACAATAATAATCTTCAGTTAACAAAACAAAACAAAAACATCAAATTTTACTGTACTCAAAACAAATTATTGCGATCGATGATAATATTGAAAATAATAATTATGAAATTTACATTAAAAAAAGTTACGAACTGACCTGCAGCGGAGTTTGTGTAAACAACACACAACATCTGCTAAAGCTGCAAAACTTCCCACCTCCTTTATCCAAGCCGGCCTGTTTTTCTTTAATGTCGTAAAAAAAACTTGTGGTCATTCTTGTGCTGCTTATGACATTTATGAAGTTTACAAATTTTACATATTAAAAGAAAAAAATACTCTCAGTATTCTCGCAAGGTTCAGTACGGTGTGCTGAAGCGTCGCCAGCTGAAAGAGGGCATCTCCTTTAGCTAAATRCTTGTTTACAGGGCTCTCATGCTACAGAGGTTAGAGACCACGCACCTGGCAAATACCTGACGCCAGAGTTCACTCCTCCCTGTGCTGAGGAGTAGAAAAGAGGGAGACACGAAGAGAACAAACAAGCAGGAAAATTATCAGCCTCATTTTAATTTATCCTTCGATTAATAGATTTATTGCTTATCGTGGCMGGCCTAGTCATAAACAACACGTCACTGTGTGACACTTTTAGTGTGTGAATACACTTATTTTCAAGRTTTAATCAAAAAGCCCATAACTCTGTAATTTCTCAACAAAACATGCTCTGTATCAGTCTGGACTCCTTTAATGAATACTGGTCTGATGACTTCAGATAAAACCATGCTAGCAGTTGGTCTTACTGGGTTCATTTGCTCGCTAACAGCAAATTTTGGATRATTTCTTCTTCAGGTTTAATGACAGCGACCATCTGAAAGATGTGGACCTGTACTCGGACAAATCAGACAGGGAAGGAGAACCGGACCATGAGGAGTCGGACCCGGAGAACCTGGAAAAGAGTGAAGAGAGCGACAGTGACACGTCGGAGCGCCAGGATGACTCGTACATTGACCTGGACCCTAATGAACATCTGTGTGAGACCCCATACATGGAACAGTCTCATGAGGAGTTAGGAGAGGTACGGAGCAAARAGTTCAGTCAACTTTTACTCTGTTMCTACTTAGATTTKTATTTATATCAAATATTTATTTATAAGTTTTGAGAAAAAGTGGGTTTTTTCTGCTGAGGTTTTCATGTTATAACATGACATATTGTGCTGTTTCCTTTGCGTGGTTGTCTCAAAGAACATGTGAGAACAAGGTGACAAATGTTAAACTAACACCAAGCTCCATACTGATGGAGTCCGGCGTCTCACTAATTAAACACCTGATTAAACACCCAGATGTTCTGTAAAGGTCTGTGCATCTCTAATGTTTCATATGTGTGTTTTCAGGCTGGTGAGGCTGCACAGACCGAAACCGTATCAGAGGAGAATAAATCTCTCATCTGGACCCTGTTGAAGCAAGTTCGACCCGGCATGGATCTGTCCAAGGTTGTACTGCCCACATTCATCCTGGAGCCAAGATCCTTCCTGGACAAGTTGTCTGACTACTACTATCATGCCGACTTCCTGTCAGAGTAAGGCTTGCTACATGGTTTTATATAGATTAAAGCAGTGGTTCCCAAAGGAAGTGACCCCTCTTTGGGTTTATCAAATAAAAAATAGTTTCTACAAGTTTATTTTCTCTATAATGTTTACCAAAGATGACAACAATAATATTTAATGTGGAGAAAAAGTAGTTTAATATGAGTTTATTCTATTTGTGTTACCATTATTTTTTACGTTTATTTTACCAGTGTTGGTGTAGTTGATGATGTTTGGGGTTGCATGTCTATGACATTTTTACTTTGGGGAATAGAAGCGAAAATAATAGTTTTAACACAACTCCAATCTCAAAACTGTTATTGCCAAGAATTTGAACACTATTTCAAAAACTTTATACTGTTGTCAGTTTCACAAGAAACCRTCATTTACGTAGAATTAAACGGTTATGAAACGCAGTAATTCAAACAGGTGCCTATTGTGATTGTGTATTGGCAAAAATTTGTGTGATCTGGTATATAACATGACAGAGGTGTCATGACATGTTGCAGTATATTCTCATTTGTTTTCTCCAACAATTCTTATTTTAAAAAACTCAGTATGTTTTAGATTTATTTTATGTTTCATTTTTCTTATTTCAACCATGTTTTCAAAGGTTGGGTCAAATGTGCCATTAAACAGTTTGATAAAATATTTGTAGCAGTTTTAAGATTTATAATATTAATTTATTAAAAATATGTGGATGGATGGATGGATGGATGGTCACCCAACACTAAGAATAGCCTGTATCTGGGTCCGGGGGGATCGCGAGTACGCCCTTCATGTCAATACCCTCTGTGTTTCATATGATTGTTGCCTTTGGTCACTTTAGTACCATCCCTGAGGGTGTTAGACAAATGCCTACCTGCCTTCCATAACATGACAACTGACCTCAGACTGCAGTTAGGAGAAAGAGTGTTCTGAACAAGATGCTTAAAGTTGACACGGGACAGTTGGCAACACTAACTCAGCTTTAAAGGCAGCGGGTGTTGGTTTAATCCACAAAAATTTTAGTGCTCACGTTTACTCGCAGTGCTAATGTTTGAGCTAGCGTTATACTCTCTGGCTCTTTAAGAGAGGAGAAGTCAAATGGCTGCCTAACTGCTGCCAACTAGTGGCCAAAGGCTAAACAGCACAATAAAGAACCATTGGCATGATGGTTTACGTTTYAAGACTTAATAAAAAATGATACAGGGCGCCATTTTCTTACACCCCTAAAACCTAAGCTACATTCACACCAAACACGTTTTGAGCATCTAAAACGTGCCCAAAGCCTCAAGTTGGACGCGATACATTCAAACCAGGACCGAGACTAGACACATGTCTGAAGACGGTTTTATGGGAGGAGCGTCTTGGTTTTCATCTGGTCTGTCTTTAATGGCAGATAAAATAAAGATGAAATAAAACCTTTGTTTTATTTACTAAAGAGCAAGCGAACGTTGYGCACACCAGATAATTAATTCACCAGATAATTTAGAGGCAGTCTTTTTGGTGAGTTTCACCACTCCGGGAGCTACGAGCTAACGGACTATTTTTGTCCCGAGCCCAGTTTAACAATGCGGTCAGTTTAACGAGCTGCTGACCCACATCAGTGCTGATATCTCCAGCCAGAACACCAACTACAGACGGTTGATTTCAGCTAAAGAGCTCCTGTCCGTCTGTTTCAGGTTAGTGGGCAACATTCAGGAAACTGTCACGTGGAAAAAAGAGTCTCTCTGATTGGTTGACGCTGCGCGTTGAGCAGCGAAAGTTCAGATTTTTCAACTCGAGTGTCGGCTGCTTTGGACGCACCGCATGCACGTCAAACGCTCAAACCGCACCTATCACTTCGTTGCGCGCCACGCTAGACGAGCCACAAGACCCTTAGACACGCGTCACCATAGACTTTGTATGTAAACCGGCCGCTCCTGCTGCTCAAAGTGTGTTTGGTGTGAATCAAGCATTAGTGATGTAACAATACATCGCTTCACATTAATATATCGATTAATTACATCAAGATAAACTGAAAACATTGATCCATATCATCATCGTATGCTGCCATGGATCCATGGCAGTTAGATTGAGTTAGATGGGCAAATGAKACTGCTTCATTATCACAGACTTAATTGAATCAAAACTAATCAAAATTTATAACCATTCCCCACTTCSTTATCTAAAGTAGATTTTTTTGTTTATTGATTTTTTTTATGCTGGAGTGTCTGAATTGGGTAAAAATCTGCTAAATGTCACATTACATAAAAGTTGATCAGATTTGTCACTTATCACTCTCTAAGCAAATCAGTCATATCAGTCAGTTCTTGTTAGTACAGCAGTTTGAACAAGTTTTTTGTTTAACAATCAAACTGTTGAAGATAAACCTCACTCTAAGTTAAGAATTCTGTTYCAGAGCTGCAGTTGAAGAGAATGCCTACGACCGGATGAAGAAGGTGGTGAAATGGTACATCTCTGGATTTTACAAAAAGCCAAAGGTCTGTTCAGCTCCCTCTGTTTTGGTCTGTATGTTCTGAAAAATAAGTTCTACCAAATGATGTTGGTGGTGGTTCATCCTCAGGGGCTGAAGAAGCCTTACAACCCCATCATTGGGGAGACGTATCGCTGCATGTGGCTCCATCAGAAGACAAACAGCAAAACCTTTTACATCGCCGAACAGGTCAGGCTCACGTGTTGCATGTGTACGAACATAAACCATGTCACAGTTTGATCRGTAAACTAAAAACAGCAGGTATTTCTCATTCGTCTGATTGAAACTCTTCTCCAGGTGTCCCACCACCCGCCGGTGTCAGCCTTCTACGTCAGCAACAGAAAGGACGGGTTCTGCCTCAGTGGCAGCATCCTCGCCAAGTCCAAGTTCTACGGTACAAATACAGAGTTTATTTAGCTGTTTGTTTGTTTGTTTCATCACCATTAATTGATGGTTGGATTCATGTTGCTGCGTATTAGGAAACTCCCTGTCAGCCATATTAGACGGTGAGGCTCGTCTCACTTTTCTCAATCGAGGGGAGGACTACGTGATGAACATGCCCTACGCTCACTGTAAAGGTTAGAGTGCATCTTTTATTTGTGATACTTTATATTGTTTATGCTGGTATTTCAAACTAAATGTAGAAAAGTTACTGAAAGTTCGGTTGTAGCTGTATGTAAGCGCCCGGCGAGCAGTTGGGGAGTAGGTTTCGGAAAGAATCGAACCTGTGATTTTCCAGCCTCGAGTTGGCCCCACAGCTGCACCACAGCTGCACACATTGCATTCAGTTTGCAGAAGACCAGCTCTAATTCCCTCGTCTCTAACACTAATGAATACATTTGTTGTCATTGACTGATTGATCCTTCAGTCAAACCAATGAATCAGTGTATATACCAGTGGACCAGTGTTTGTTCCTCCCAGAGGGGAACACAGCTGCACTTCAGGTTGCTCTTCTGCAGAATTACAGATGTTTGTAGCTTTTGTATTTAAATGTAGCTATTGTAGGGCTGGGCGATGAAACAATAATAATATAAATCATGATATATAATCAGTATCAGTAGAAAATTTGTCTGATAGAATATTGATAATTTTACTGAACTCAGATCCAGGGGGATGTAGGCAGAGGAAAGGCTTTAACCATGYTACCTTTTACTGCCCAGCCAAACTCACTCACTCTTTGGTAAGCTAGCATCAATCACCAAGTTTGACAATTTAAAAAAGTGATAGTCCAGCGTTTTGGGAAGACCATCCTCCAAATTCTGAAAATGAAATAAAATGAAATTGTGTTYCAGCAGAAGCGAGGGTGTTGCATTTAGACTGCAAAATCCTCTGAACATGAACAGAAACAAYCTGAGTACACTGTCGTATTCAGTCTGCTCTGACAGCTGTTACTGCAGCAGATTACATTTACAGACTTCAATTATCTTAAATCAATGGTTCCCAACCCTCAAACTGTCCTTTCACCAAGAAAGCTGTGCAAGTAAAATAATTTGGTTATTATGATGTATTCCAAATTGTTTTTCCTTAAAAAAATCAGACCACACTTGTTAACCCTTTGCTCAGGTTTAAGCAGGTAAATGTTTACCCAGACCTCTGGTAATTGTATGAATGTAGTTTTATTTGAGATGTTGTTACATTTCGTCTTTTAGAAGCATTCTGCAATAGTTTCCTGTTTTCTGATGAAGTTTTCAAACGGTCAGCTCTGATCGAAATAACTTTTTTTTTTTTTGTAAGGCATACTTTACGGGACCATGACGCTGGAACTTGGAGGTCAGATCACTGTTGCATGTGAGAAAACAGGCTACAGCGCTCAGCTTGAGTTCAAACTAAAGGTACGCTTGTGCTTTTTTATTTATTTTTACTGTAGATTCATGGTAGTTAGTGAAGAGAAGGTAGTTAGTACTTTAAGGTGAGGCTTGTCTGTAATGTAAACCCTGTGCTAGAGTTTTTCTCTCATGACTTTTATGAATGTCTCACTTCCCTGTCACCCCTCCATTCCACTCCTTTAAATATCCCACTTCCCAACTCTGACCCACCCACTCATCCACCTCATTATCACCACTAATCAGCGTCAGGTATGATCAGAATAAAACCAACAGCTCAGGTCGACCATTTCAAACAATAATATAGAAAATATCCGATTTTGAAATAATCTATGCGGACTAGAATAAATAAACATTTAGTTTAACTTAATGCACTTAAAATAAGTTTACACAGAAACTATATGAGACGTGTATATTTCTCCCTCTTTTAAACTTTTCCTTACCTTACCTTGTTTTTTTTTTGGCCCCGTCTTGTTGTATACACTGCTCCTCTGGAAATCCTCCATTCCTTCCCGTTTTCCTTCTTCCTGMTTCTTTCCGTCCTTCAGCCATTTCTGGGCAGCAGCGACTGCGTCAATCAGATCTCTGGGAAGATCAAGCTGGGAAAGGAGGTGCTGGCGACACTGGAGGGTCACTGGGTAAAACACATTCTTCTTTAAAGTCTGACAAATTGAAAACGTTCCCTCGTTCAGTGTTGTTTTTAACCTCCTCTCTAACAGGATAGTGAGATCTTCATCAACGATAAGAAAACCGGGACCGTGGAGACTTTCTGGAACCCAACACCTGAGCTGAGGCAGAACAGGCTGATACGCTACACCGTCCCACCAGAGGAGCAGGGGGAGTTTGAGTCAGAGAGGTACACCGAATCTTAGCAGCCAAATCCTCAGTCCTTCCCATAAACTGAAAGGTGTTTGTTTCTCGTTATTGTCTTATTCTGAGGATTTAAAGTGAATGGTAGAAGGGGACACTTTTTTTTTGTTGACACTACCAGAGGGCCACATAGTGCTGCACAAGACGTGCAACTCGAAGTATAAACCAACCTTGAGACATGAAGCTACATTAACCAGGCAGTGACCGAGCCATTATACTGATTGTTCTGGTTCTAAGAGCTACTACTACTGAAACTGAGTTGATAAAATTAGAACAAGCAGAACAGCAGCTAAAATGAGCATAAAATAAGCTAAAAGCAGCAAAACAAGTTAAATACCAAGGCAGCAGAACACGAGCTAAGATTAGCAAAACAGATTCTAAAGCTAAAATGAGCTCAAATTAGATGGTAAAATTAGCAAAACCGTAGCTAAAAGAAGAAAAAAAAATTTCTTAACCTTAAACTGGTAAAACGGTGTCAAAAATTTGCTAAACTATAGCAAAACTATAGCTAACAGATGAAAGAAGCAGAATGGTAGCTGAATTTAAATGTAGCAAAATGCTAAATTTAGCAGCACAGTAGATAACAATAATAAAACAACAGCTAAAAGTAGCAGAATAAAAATTTCATGCTAATAGTGGCAGGAAGGTATCCTAAAGTAACATAGAAAAACAAAATCATAGCAAGTATGCTAAAGCAGATTTCAAAAAGATGTTCTTCTGTTGAAGGAATTAAAGAGATCTGAGTGTACTTAAAAGTTTTTATTAAGTATTAAATCTATGAAAACCAAGTCATGGCTCAATATTCCTGATAGATTTAAACATTTTGATACATGAATGTTTAAATAGCACGTACGTATAAACAGGAAAAGAGCGGTAATGCTGACTCAGCGTTTAGAAAAGAAATTGAAGTTTTTGACGGTGATGATGTCACTCAGATAAATTTGTCCTTTTATAGAAACAAAACATTAAAACCATRTGGAACATTCAGTGAATATTACATTATATATTTTGCCCTTTTTGTATTGGAGGCAAAGTTTTTTGTTATTTTGACCTCACCCACAGTCATCAAAAACTTTTTAAGAAATCATAAATTTAGTTTAGACTTAAAAGGTCTATAAATGTTAATGCATCAGCCACATCAATAATAACAGATTTTTACCCTTTGGTTGATAAAATGTCTTCACTGTTGTTAATTTTTCATATGTTTTGTCACTTTTAAATGTTTACTTTTTATGACTGTATGTCCTCTCTCACCCAGACTGTGGCAGCACGTGACCCGAGCCATCATCAACAAGGACCAGACTGAAGCCACCAATGAGAAGTTCATCCTGGAGGAAGCTCAGAGGAAAGCAGCCCGCGAGCGTAAAGCTAAATGTGAGGACTGGGTTCCCGCCTTGTTTGAGCAGGACCCCATCACTGGAGAGTGGCATTACAAATATGCTGAGTAAGTGGTTTCTCTTTCTCCCAAAGCTGGTGAGGTTTGAGAGCCAAGTCTTAATTAGTTGATCAGAGAAGTGACTTCACACRTGCTGATTTTTATAAAGTAAAGTAGTAGCCAGTATTTAACATGCAATGCCAAATGGCTAACAAMATTCACAAGAGAGTTTTCATGATGCTTGTGGATTCTTGTGGTTCTGCTGGTTATGATCCACGTCTCATGACCACAGGTGAGGGTTGGAACGTWGACAGACCAGTAAATCAAGGGCTTTGCCCTTCAGTTCAGCTTTTTCTTCACCTTGACCGACCGAAGTGATGCCCTCATTACTGAGAGTGAGACCCCAATCTGTTGCTCCACCCTGGGGTGGCTGTGGCAGAGTGGTTAGGGGAGTCATCCTGGTAGGTTGCTGGTTCGAACCCCTGTTCCAGCTGTCTCAGTTGTGTCCTTGGGCGAGACACTTCACCCCCAATGTCTCTGATGTGTGTTTTATCAGTGTATAAATGTGATTGGCACTGATTAGTCTCCATAGATGATTGTACATGTTAGCTTTGTAGCGACCTAATAGAGTGCTGTGTGAATGGGTAAATGAGGACACAGATTGTAGTGTGAAGCACTTTGAGTGTCCTGGTTGGGTAGAAAGGGGCGATATAAGTACAGTCCATTTACCATTTATCACTTGTGAACAAGACACTCAGATATTTTCCCTTTTCCAGTTGAGAAGCATGTTCTCAGTTTGACAGCTGAAGGTCTTGGCCCAAAGACACCAAAAAGAACCACATCATCTGCATAAAGCAGAAACAAGTCTGCGTAATGAAACGGCAAGTTCCTTGAAATGCTTCACCACAATAATGCAGGGAGTCTGCAAAATATTGGTGGGACTTGCACAAGTGTGTCTTGAGTCCTCAATCAGTGAGACCACATCTAAAAATCGACATGTTTTCTTGCAGCTGTGCACCAGTTTTTAGTTGCCTACAGCTAAAAACCAAGGAGATACTGACTTAATCAACTGTATACATTGGTGATAACAGAAAAACATTACCCTCATCATGAACCCACACCAGTATACCTACTAAAAGGACCCTTCTGCATCAAGACTCTTCTTTGGTCATCCGGTTGACAAAACCCACTAGAACCCTTAAGGGTATTTGTTTAATCTGGTACATGWGCACTTCATTATGAGCTGCTGTCAGATGTCCTCCTTTGGCTGAAAAAAGATAAAAATTCACTCAAATTTAGGTTGTATTCACACCTGATGCATGTGGTCCATTTTAAATGGACCCCATTGGTCTGAACCTTTTATGCAGGTGTGAATACACTCATGGGAACCCTATTGCAGACTAAACAAGCAGACCGAGACCCACTTTAGAGGTGGTAACAATTAGCCCTTCAGTGTTGCTAATGCTAACACTACTCTACAAACAATGAGCTGTTGTGGGTCAAGGAACGCAGAGCATCTCGTGTCTTTTCGGTTGCAGCACGCATTTGCCAACATCGTCCTGAAATTAGAAGTGTATCATCACAAAACTGCCGTAAACGAGATGCTCTTGGTATTCTAAATGGTGTTGCAGTTTTAATAACAGCACCATCTTTATTTCCTGCTCTGTGCTCTGTCCTCCCCCAATCATTTCTGTCCTGTGGGAGCAATGACTGTCATCTGCGTGGCTTTGTTTTTAAATTATAGTCCCTTTTAGGGCTGGGCGGTATGACCTCAAATTCATATCACAATATAAATTGAATCCCTTCACGGTAACGGTATATATCGCAGTAGAAAATTATCACAAAAAGCAAAGATAATGTAATTTTTAGAGCATTATTTTTTGCAGAAAACTATAATCATAAACAAACCCAGTATTTTTGCTGTAGTACAAATAAATATAACATGAGTACAAAAAGATGTTTTTTATATATTGCAAAACTAAAACATTTCTCAAATTTTCAACAATATCAAAATAAAGTGGATGTTATAACCAGTAAAGTAAAGTAAAATTAGTACTTTAGACATAAAAAAAAATCTAAGTTGTCATAAGTTGTCTAAAATGTGTGACAGGACCTTAAGCTGCATATAGTCCTAGTCATAAAACATTTTCAGATAACTAGAATATAAGTGTGGTGAAGCCAAATAAATGTATCATCTGCCTGCCATACAATGAGCTTCTGCCTGCTGAACTGACCCGCATCTTCATCATCAGAGCAGAAGCGACTCATTAACAAGATGGATTTATTATTTATTATTTTTTTGAACGACGTCCAGTTCTTTTTATCATCTCTGTGGGTAACAATACGTAAAAAACAATTTTTTTTCTCCGACAACTTAGGTGTGAAAAATCTACRGTTGTTAATGTTTCGCTCTGTGTGACGTGCAGTGGGAGGGAGGGAGGAAATGATCCCGCGACACAACCTAGCTTTTCTACAGTGGGAGGGGGAAAGTTTATTCTCTCTCCTGACACTCTCTCTTTTTTTTTTTACCAACTCCTTCCGCTCAGTTGACCACAGGACGGTAGAGGATAAATTTCTACCGTAGGCCAACTTCATATCGTTTCTACCGTCTATCACACACATCGGGCAGCCCTAGTCCCCTTGCAACAAAGCACAACCKCACCAAACGACCAAACCATTTTCATCAGTTTTTTTTTCTTTTGTTATGCTGAAACTAAATGTAGGTGAAGCCTTAGGCACTTTGAGTTCAACTAATAAAAACCTAACCAGTCACAAACAAGGAAACTTGATGGTAAATTAATGTATATCTCAAGGAAACMATGTATTTTAAAAACCATTTTCTTATGCTTTTATATCTTTCAAAAGGTTTAAAACAATCATGTCTTCCTCAGTGGAGTTGATAGTAGTGCACTGGGCGCCATCTACAGGTAGCTCCTTGTAACTGCAGAGGAAAGAGATTGWAAAAAGATTGTTGAACATGATTATAAGTGATTGTAATAAGAGAGGAAATCGTTCTTTCTCTGTCTCTCCTCAGCACAAGGCCTTGGGATCCCCTCAACGACCTGATCCAGTTTGAGAGYGATGGCTGCATCCAGACCAAGGTTCGACACCGCACCCCTATGGTACGTTCTGGCAGTCTTATTAGTCTGAGTAACCAGGGGCAACGGAGGGACAATTGCAAGTGCCAGGTAGGTTGTCCCGATCGCACCGTGCGTCTCGCCGCCTCAGCCGTCTCCCACCCGATGCTCCGCCTCCATTATCTTGTCTTTGAGTCATCATGTCCGCGCTGCCGCCATCGCTGCATGTCATCAGTCTTTTATTTCCTCTGTGCCTCCTCCTCTGCTTCACTTCTCTTGTTGTGACACTCTGTGTTCACTCTGTCAGGGAGGAGACAGCAGGTCAAACTGCATGTTGATCTGAGGGAAATGGGCTGCTTCAGACAGCTTTGAGTTTCATTGGAGTCTCAGATGAGCTCATAAATCTATAAAGATGCTCATTTCCTGCACTCTGTCCAGAAGAGAGAAGAGCTTCAACGTGTCAGTGTMCATCCTGCCTTCCTCATTCATCTTCACCTCTTTGTTTTTATGTTTTGTTGCCTCAGAAACKCTGAACTGTGCATGTGTGAGGTGGCAGTGACCACGTGCCAAGTGCTGCAGCGTTACTCCTGATTGGCTGCTCACATGACCTCACACCATCATGCTACCTGACATTTATAAACATGCAACTTGTCCCGATACCAGTTTTTTCAAGACTGAGTACAAGTACGAGTACTTCAGTTTAGGTACTCACCGATACCGATACCAAGTAGCGGGGTTAGGGTGGATTATCTGTTCAACTTGTTGAATATTAAACAGAATGAAAATGAAACGCAATTATCATGTAAAAATTGATGGGTAAATATTATGTTTGACAATAAAAAGGTAGTGCAAACTCTGCCAAGTAGATAAGTTGGTAAATATATCACACCATAACTTTTGAAACCATTTATTTTATTTCAAACAGGCTCTTTTTTAATAAGGCCACAATGTATTAACAAAACAAATACTGCAAAACAAATGCTGTTGCATAC